CCCCCCAATCTGCTGGAAATAATATAGCTTGCAGTGAAAATCATATAACATAGGGTACTAACAACTAATTATCGATAGTAGAGGGACACAAATGGCCCTTTTTTGTTTATGCGGTGCCAAATACTTGAAGTGTAAGGGTGTGTTTGGTAGGAAGGAAAATATTTTTCGGAAAATATTTTTCAATTTTCACATGTTTGGTTGGCTTAAATATTTTAAAAAATATTTTTCTAATGAACTCATTTTCTTCCAATTGGAGGAAATGTTTTCCCTATCAAAAGAATAAAAAACTCTTTCTCAATCTTCCCCACCATATTCTTCATTCCCACCAACCCCCACCAAAGAAAACATGGGGATTTGGGGGAAGGGGGTGAGGAGAGTAACGTAAAAAATTATTTTCCTAAAAAATATTTTCTACTCTCTAATCAAGGACTAAAAAATATTTTCCGGAAAAAGTTTTTCACTCACCAAACAAACAAGGGAGAATAAGTGATAAAATTACTCATTTTCCATGAAAACATTTTCCATGGAAAATATTTTCCTCCATACCAAACACACCCTAAATCTCTGTTATGTTTATAATTTTAGGATATTATCCAAACTCAATTCAACCTCAACTTGTTTGGGACTTAAGCAATTGATATTGCATACAAACTTAATTCAACAATTCTTAAATTACTCGTTGTTGGCTTGTTGCTCATTTCTCGTATATTTGATTTCTTTTATCTCTAGTCTCTACCTTCAAATAAATACAGCTTACATAGATTTTTAATTTAACTTATATAAATTAGTGAAACTAACCTGGATTATCATAACGCTAAATTCAATTGAGGGAAGGAGCATCTTTTCCTCTTTTCTCTTTTTCTTTTTGATTAGTTGTCTTTTCGATTACCTCTTGAACTACTCCAATTTAAGCATTCTGAAAAGTGAGTGAAATATTGTATCACTTCTTATTTCAGTTTCCATATCATCTAACTTAATCTTCAAATATGTAGATCGTATTTTATTTCACTCTACAATAGTGAATTTGAAACACAATAACAGCAGCAGCAAACACAATTTAAGATGGGGGTTTTCCCTTTTCTATTTACCAGAGTTTTGTTTGTATTTTAGTTGAAAGCTCTTTCATACGCAAAATAATTAGGTGGATACTGCCCCTTAATATGCTCATTCTCGCCAATAAAAATCGAGTATGCAATTTTTTTCCAGGTTAAAGTGACATTGTAACAACAGATAACTGTATTCTGAGCCTATTTTCGTAAACTAGACAGTAAGGTAAATAACCTATTATAATATGTTAAAATACAATAATAGTGTAAATGTTATTTACAATGTCTTGTGTATATAAGTTAAGTCATTACATTATTCCAATGTTACAAACATCTTCTGCGGCATATTTGAAGAGTAAGACCTGTCTCTCTAATCATTTGTACACAAATAAACAAAGAGGTTGAGCTCCAGGATCAACATCTAGCATTTCTACACTTCAGATGAGCAGCTCGAGCAATTAAAGCCCTGGGATTTATTGTTGCAATGACTCAGAATGATACATGGTGTGACAGATATTCAGCTTAATGTCATTAGGATTTCTGCAAGCCCTGCCAACAGTTTGTTGGAGACCGTCTGTGATGGCTCATCCCTACTGCCTTGGGACAAATTGAAAGGCCTCTCTCTTCAACTCCTCTACCCATACAATTTTAGCAAAGCCAACGCCGTGCAAAAAAAATGAATCTCAATCTCCCTAGTTTTTATTCTGAATCTCCATGGTCATATTTCTATAGTCCTAGCCTGTGCAGGTTGCTCAGCATCCCTTATCTAAGCCAACTGATGTCATGTACTGAGGTGGTCCTCAAACTACTCAAGGTGCAAATTCAGATTATCCGTACTTCAAAGGACACAGTAACTTGAGCTACAATGTTCCAACCAAAAGATCTCAAACAACTAATTAAATGGGGGAAAAAAGAGACAAGGTTCGGGTATCACACAAATGCTACCTTGGATACTTACAGAAGAGTTGACAGTCATATCAGGTTATGCCTCCACAAATCATGCCATTTGTACATCTTGGGTTGAGCTGGAATAAGACGCGAAAATTCACTTCTCGGACTGGAAGATGAATAATGAGAAACCAAGATCCTGTATAGAAGTCATAACGCACATACCAATTAGCAACACAACCAACAATAAGCATGTCGACTCAGAAAACTAATTCTTGCCATCCCCATTCTCCCAACCAGCTTTGCAGAAAAATAAGAGTATAGTAATAACAATATGAGGAGTGTCCCAAGCCAAGCCGAGGAGCAAAGGGAGAGAAAACATGATAACCTACAATGAATAGAAATACCTGGACATAAGCAGCAAGAGAACATATGAAAAGACAGCAACTAATTAAACATATAACTCTTGACTCTCCATTGGAGATGACCAATAGCGCAGGAGGGACTCCACGGTAAGCCTCCTAGTTGCACTAAGCATTGAGATGAAAAATCTGCAACCATCGATCTTATACTCCTCGAGTGGATTTCTGTGCCCAAAACTCCTTACATTCACCTGTTCCAGAAATCCAGAGGGAGAATCAATATACGACTTCCAATCAAGGAAAGCATAGTTTTTCGAACAGATAGGCAAATACCATACCGCTGAACTTAGTCGGTTCATGTTTATAAGATGATCCCTCCAGAAGCAATCTAATGTCTTCAGAAGTACTGCCCTCTAAATCCAAATAACATAAGGAATCAATTAAGATAATAAGATTCTTTTTGAACTTTAAGCATATGCACAAACTACACACCCAAACCCTCTATCATAATCTAATCCTATATGGAGGTAATTATTATGCAATAAAAGAGGCATAAAATGATATCATAACCTAATAAAAAGCAAAAGGATTTCAGGTCACTGGTATGGTCTTATTTAAATTTTAAACATTGAAAGGATTTAAATATCACCAACACCAAAGTTTGCTTCCTTTTTCCTCTTTTTTCCGATGATGACCGAGAAATCCCAGTGGGCTAGTGGTGCAAGGTTCAAAATTCGGTGGATAGTGGGGCCACCCCTTACCCTTCTCTACTTAAGTACCAGGCAATGCAAAGCCTGCGGTAGGGTTCGAACCGGTAACGTGCGCTAAAACCACACATCACGGGTTGCACACTTACCACTAGCCCTGGGGGCATTCCTTTTCCTCTCTTTTTTTTGACAATGTAACATGTATATTTATATTAAACAATCTTCAGCACAAAGGTTGAGCTGGAAGCCAAAAGAAAGAGTTTACAAAAGCCTACAAAGCTCCCTATTACAATCCTTGCGCTTCTTACAAGGAATCTAGGACTTGTAAAATTGACTCTAAGTCGTCACTATATTCTGCTTTACACCAAAAACAAAAAAGAAGAATACAATTCATCTTAATTTTCTGAATAGAGCTAATTGTATCCTCAAAGCATCTTGAGTTCCTCTCCTTCCATATTGTCCACCAAATAGTTGCAGGGACAATTTTCCATCTGTCTTTGTTTGAAGTAGTGCACTTCTCCCCTACACTCCAGCTCGACAAGAGTTCAGATGTTCTTCCTGGCATTGACCATCTAATACCCCGAGGTTGATGAATAAATCCCACAACTGACTAGTCACTCTACAATGTAGAAACAGATGGCTGATTGTCTCTACCTCTTGGCTGCATAAGTAACACCTCGAGCAGATTGGTATTCCCCTTCTCCTCAAGTTGTCATGTGTTAAAACAGCTTCTCTAACTACCAGCCAAGAAAAACATGCCACTCTGTATGGTGTCTTGACCCTCCAGATGTGTTTCCAAGGCCATAGATTGACTTGTCCACCATCTTGGTTTAGATACTTGTAGGCTGAACTGACTGTGTACATCCCACTGCTATTTTGGCTCCAGCTAAGTGTATTTTCTCCCTCCTGCAGTCCGTTGCATAGCTCCAGATTGTTAAAGAAGTATGTTATTTTGGGCAGCTCCCAATCATGTAAAGGTCTGTGCCCCCCAAAGTTCATATACTGTAGCTCTATGTTGTTGATTCAGGGCATAAATGTCTGGAAAAAGATTCATAAGACAACCAATTCCTAACCAGTTATCTTCCCAAAAGAGAGTTTTCCTACCATCCCTTACTTTGAATTGAAGCTTGCCAGCAAAATTTGGCCACAGATTCCTTATTGTTCTCCACAAGCTGGTACCATAAGCATTGTTTACCTGCTTAGTCATCCAGAATCATTTCTTTCCATATTTAGCCTTTATAACCTTGCTCCACAAAGCTTGTTCCTCCTGGTAAACCTCTAAAGTCACTTCATCAAAAGACTTTTATTCTGCATTCTCAAGTTCCTGACCCCCCAGATCTCCCATCTTTTTGCCGAGGGTCAAAGTTTTTCATTTGACTAGATGAAAGCCCTTCTTCTCTTTGTTTCCATGCCAGAGGAAGTTTCTTCTCAAGGTGTTCAATATTTTCTCTACATTGGTAGGTATAGGAAATAGGGACAACATATATGTGGGGAGAGCATCTAGCACAGAGTTAATGAGGACCAATCTACCACCCAATGAAATGTAGTTTGATTTCCATCTTGCTAGCTTTTTCTCACATTTTTCCAGGACTCCATTCCATGTCCTTGGATTTGCTCTTAGCTCCCAAAGGCATCCCCAAATAAGTGGTTGGGATAGAACCAATTTCACCTCCCAGAATCCCTGCCAGCAATTGAATATTAGATACCTCATTAACCGGAAAAATCTGACTTTTCCTCCAGTTGATATGAAGCCCAGAGATGGCTTCGAAAATTATAAGAATCACTCTTAAATACTTTACTTGGATCTCATCAGCATCACAGAAAATGAGGGTATCATCTACATATTGAAGATGAGTAACCTCCAACCTGTCAATTTGGTTCCTTGCCACATTGAAGCCCTTAATCCATCCATTGCCCTATGCTGTTCTTAACATATTGTTTAACCCTTCCATGGCAAGTATGAATAAGAAAGGGGATAAGGGATCGCCTTGTCTCAAGCCCCTTTCTGAAGGAAAAAAGCCTTCAGGAGCTCCATTGATCAAGATGGAGAACCTGACAGTGCTTATACAGAATCCGATCCAGTTGATCCATTTCTTACCAAAACCCATCTTCTGGAGAGTACCAAGCAAAAATTCCCAATTGACATGGTCAAATGCCTTTTCAATATCTAACTTGCACATAATTCCTGGCCTCTTCTCCTTGAGTCTGGAATCTACACACTCATTTGCAATCAAAACTGCATCTGTGATTTGTCTTCCTTTTATAAATGCAATTTGCTGTGAATCTACCAATTTGTGCATCACCCTTTTCAATCTTTCAGTGAGTAACTTGGAGATCAATTTATAAATGCTGCCTATGAGACTAATAGGCCTAAAATTCCGTAACTCCTTGGCACCACTCTTCTTAGGTATCAACGCCACATAAGTGGCATTGAAGCTCTTTCCAAAGAACTCCTAAGAATGAAAGTTCTGGATAGTAGCCATTATGTCTGATTTCACCACGTCCCAACATTTGATAAAAAACCCATAGTGTACCCATCCGGCCCCGGAGCTTTGTCTATTGCACAAGTCTTTAAGCACTCTAAGACTTCATTCTCCTCAAAAGCATTTTGCAGTGTCTGTACTTCAACTTCAGAAATAGAGAGGCAATTGTTCATGTTGCAGGTAGGTCTCCATACTTCTATTTCAGAGTACAGTTTCTGATAGAAAGCAATAATCTCCTTTTTGATCTCAACTGGTTCTTCAATACTCTCCCCATCCACCTCTAATTTGCTAATGTTATTGAATCTTTTATGTGCAATGGCAGTTCTTTGGAAGAACTTGGTGTTCCTGTCTCCTTGTTTGAGCCATAGTGCCCTTGATCTTTGCCTCCAAGCTATTTCTTTCTTTGTAGCAAATTCTTCAAATTCGATGGAGAGATTTGCTCTTATGGACATCTCCTCCTCATTAAGGTTCCTCTGTTGTTGGATAGCATCCAACTCAGCAATTTGGTTCAAGATGAGGCTTTTCCCCCTCTCCAGGTTGCCATAGCTATTCGAGCTCCATTCTCTCAAATTTCCTTTTAGGGCTTTTAGCTTGCAAGCAAGGATGTAATCAGGTCTTCCTTCAAGGATGAAGGATGACCACCAGCTCTGGACTCTATCAGTAAAGCCTTCTGTCTCCAACCACCAGTTTTCGAACTTGAAGTAGGATTTAGTGTGATCACAGCTACCACACTGTAACATTAAAGGTGTGTGATCAGAACAAACTCTAGGAAGAATTTCTTGTTTGATGTTTTTAAAACACTCATTCCACTCCATCGAAACCAGGAACCTGTCAATCTTTGAGATGGTCTCCTAACTGTTCCCTCTAGCCCATGTATAGATGCCCCTTCTAATGGAAGATCAACCAAGTCCATGTCTTCTATGAATTTAGAAAACTCAGTCATCGATTTGGTAATTCTGCTGCAATTCTTTTTTTCAGAGGGAAATCTGATTGTGTTAAAGTCTCCAGCTACTACCCAAGGCCCTGTGAATAGACCTCTAGTACTCCCTATTTCCCACCACACTTCCCTTTTTTCTCTAATGCAATTAGGAGCATAAACTCATGTCATGTGCCAATTAAAGTCTTGTGAATGTGACTCAAATTTGCAAGTCAAAGAGTGAGCACCCGTGGTTACTACTTTCACCTTTCCAAACTTTACTATCCCATAGCATTAAGATACCACCCCTAGTGCCACTAGCCTCCAATTGCCCATACCCCTGACCCCCTAAATTTCTTTGACAATCCCTTCTATATCCCCTTCTATTTTCGTTTCTTGAAAACAATATACATCAGCTTTCCAGTCAAGGATCAAGCTGCTAATCACCCTTCTCTTATTCCTACGATTCAATCCCCTCACATTCCATGAAATGACTTTCACATTCATTGATCAATGATAGAGATTTCTTTCCCCCTATTCCTTGCCCCAGAACTTTTGAACTTCATGTCGAAAACCAGGCCTTTTAACTCCTGACTGCCTTTCTTTTTAGGAGTCACCATATTTACTGCTTCTGTTTCTTGCCTCTTCGTCTGCCTGCATCTGTCGATCTTCTTAAATAAAGCCAGGGCATCCTCTTCACATCCCTAGAAATCAACCCCAAATTGTTTGCTGAATTTAATTACATTCTGATGAACCCATAAGGTTGCGTCCATCTCCCCCTCTAAATCGTCACTTTGCAATTGTATCTTCAGAGGTTCGGCTTCCTCAATTGCCCAGTTATAAGATTCAGTTTGCACTATCATTTGCATGTCCTTGCTACCTCCCACCCCATCAATTTGGATACCTTCACCGTCGATATTAGTCATAGCATCCTCATATTTATCACCATCTTCAAGGTGCATCTGTTGCTCTCTCTCCTGTATGATAGAGAGGGATTTCTCTTTCTTCGTTCTTTTCCACTTCAGAAGTTTGAGCAGTGTTAAGTGGGGAGAAGGAGATTGCTTCGATTTCATCGACTAAGGGATCCACTTTATTCCAATTGGGTGTAGTGAGCTGGGCCGAAATTAGAAATTGGGCCTCCTCACTTAAATTAGAGTCCAAAGGCTTGTTCTGAAGATTAGGCTTTGAGGGATAGGTAGGTTTGTGGGCCAGAACCTTTTGGGGCCCTTCACGTGACCCTTCCCTTTTATCAGAATTTGAAATTGGCACATTTCTTGATGTTCCCACGTGACCAACCCTATCATTAATACCCTTGTACGCCTTTTGTACTTCATGATAGGGTTTCATTGCCCAGCGGACAATACACTGCTTTCTTCTCACATCATCATCTTCTCCGGCAGCCACCCTCGTCGGAGATTCACACCAGATCGGAATAGTAAAGTTTATTCCTTTGTCAACTATTACCACTTCCTTCGGTGCTTTCTCCACCTCTGATTTTAATCCTTGCCCATTTGAGATGGTTCTTTAAGGAAGTTTCTTCCTCAGTTTCTAGCCAACCACCACAAAGATCTCCAATAGCTTTGAAGATTTTCTCAGTCCAGAAGTGCATTGGGAGACCCATAGCTCTAATCCATGTCCAATCTCTTTTTTGGTTGATTGAACAGCAGCCGGCCGTCGGCGACCACCATTCCAGATGAATTTTTGTTCGCTTCCACCTCCATTCCCCTTTAAGGATGTGTTCTGCCATGTACTTGTTAGGAAATTGAAAAAGAAAGTTGGGTCCGGCCATTTCGTAGACATCGACTCCAAAGGCTTTCTTCCAAGTATTCACTGACCATCGCCCGGATGTCAGCAAGGGTTGGTTTTTCGTCAAAGCCCTCGTCAAAGCTTCCAACAATGCACCTGCTCAGCAAACCATCATCAGTGTTGACCTCACCATCGGAGATTAATATTCTGTTGTTGGGACCATGTGTAACGTGGACTTCATCGCACTCCCTTGACTACCATTTGCTGACTTTAACAGACGAAGCATAGGGAGTTTTCGGATCTGCCTTCTTGGGACCATTTGTAATAAATGGCCTTTTATTTTCATTGATGAAGTTCCTGATCTTAAATGCGATTTCATTCCATCCCGCATTAAATGTAACTTCTGGAATAATAGTTACTGCTCGGTTGACACCTTGGACAGTAACAATGCTAATAAATCTTCCAAACTTGTTGTATTTCCTGGAACTGTAGAATGATGAATATTGCTCCTTTAGCTGCCATTTCCTTACAAACGTACCAGCATCTTTTGAGGCCTCTTGAAGGACAAAACACAACCATTCCATAGTTTTCCAGCTAAAGGTTGATCTACGCATGAGATTACGACTCCTTTCCACCCATTCGAACCAAGTTTCTGCTCTTGATTCAAGTCTTGTAATGTCATACGATTTGAGTCCAGCTGTAAAATAAATCCTATTATCACCCATAATGAACCAGAATAATTTTTAAGATTAATCACTGGAGGATGATTAAAATTAAAGACTTCGAAAAGGACGTCGGAGAACTAGATTACGCCGGAAAAGTATTGTCTTTTACAGCCTCGAAAGGTGTGCCTGAGAGCACATGCAGCATTTCCCACACTCTTCCAATCTCTTCCTTTTTCCTCTTTCTTTTAATGAAAAAGAACATACAATTGGATAATGACAAATCTGGCGTGTAAACTTGATATGATGGCATACCAATGAGTTTACCGTGGGGAATGCGCTTTAGTAGCATGAGCAAATTCTAGAAAAACAGTTACCTCTATTTCCTTCACGTATACAGCATCATATCCAGATTCTTGTATTACATCTAAATAGCTGGCAATGAGGAAATCTCCCAGGTACTTTCGGAGGAAATTAACCATCTCTCTGTACTTCCCATACCTAGCACAGAAATCAGACATATATAATCAGAAGATTGAAATAAAGAAGTTTAAATCATTGAACTCATTGATGTAGATTGGCCATACTTCATTGAGTCATCGGAGCATATAGCCAGCCAGCGTCTGAAAGAAGAGGTCTTTCCACGTATACCTCTAAAAGAATTTGGAGTTGAAGGCAAATTTGGAAGGGAAAAGTTGTCAATGGATAAGGATTGCACCTTCTGAAGTTGTACAAGTGAATCTACTAATGCTTCCTCGGTAATCCCAGCAAATGAATCTACACATAATTTCACAGTCAAACTTTATGATGCAAACTGCAAAATTCATTACTGGTTATACCATAATCCACTCTTACCATTCAATATCTCGCCCGCAACGTCTTTGAACTCCTTTAAGATTTTGTCCAAGCACCAGTTACTTGGGTGCTATGACATTTAGCAAAATAACATCAGTGAGGAAAAGAAAAAACAATGCAACGCATCATAAAACTTGTCTACTTCAGAGAAGAAATCTAGCTACCTTTTGCGGATTAACATTCTTAAAGATAACATCATCCACCACTGCTTGCATGTATCTACATAGAATTGTAATGGTGGTGAGAAAATTTTGATCCTCGAAAAGTATATTGGCTTAGCTGAAAAAACTTAATCCAGAACAACATGTGCACATGCAAAGAAATGAGTTTGCGTCATGAACAAAACGATCTCTTATTAAAAGCCAAGTACACTGGTCACAGTGGACTAACAGAGGGAAATAGGCTAGAACATATAATGTTTTCAACTGTTTCACCGTGTACAGATCCCACAAACAATGGTCAAAAAATATAACTCTAACCCACAGTATAAACCTAGAGCGAATAAAGACAAACTGCCAGAACCATCTGAAGCAGGATCTGAGCCTGATTTTACTGGGACCTTTTGAACCAATCAAAGTAGTCGACGCATCATATTCACATAAATAATGTTTCAAGATACTGGGGAATTTCACCTCAAAATAGCAGAGTACATTTGGATAGTGTATTGCATACACCAAGTTAAACATGGAATTAAAGATCAAAAATGACTGAGAGAAGAGCATTTTGTTTTATTACGTAGCTTTTCACTTTGTAAAAGAATTATAACTAAAATTAGTTTTGGATAGCCAACTCTGAAAGGACAAGTGATTAAAATCCCTATGCAATATCACAGAGCACTTATCCTTCAAATGAGAGTGAAATTGTTACCAGCATAAAGCAGTTATGATGCACAGAAAAGGAGGGTGGGCCATGCTGGATCTATGGCCAATATCTAACAAGCTTACACAGATGTCAGAGACCAGTTCGATTTTACTTTGCAGGTCACTACTTAAGGAAAATATTTCGCTTGATTATATAACAGAATTAATCAGAAAAAAGATGAGAGGAATCTAGATAAAATTGGGGAAAAAGAAACAAGAAAACAAAATTTTGGAAAGGAGAAAAAAGAGATCCTGAAGATAGAAATTTTGAAGTTACTTTAGATTTTATAAAGTATTTATTCAACAATATCTTCAGCGATAAACAACAAACTGACGCAAGGTAAAAAAATAAAATATTAAAATAAATGAGAAGAGAAAAAGGGAATAAATAACTTATCACACTCTCTCCCACATTTACATTGTATTATTTCAGTTTTCAGCAAGGACGAACACAAGGGAGCAAGAGGTGCCCATGGCTCAAACAAATTTCCCAAGTATTTATTTTGGAACAAATCATTCACTGTTGGGGAAGCTACGGAATGTTAACTGATGACAGAAACGCGGGTTAAATACTGTAAATTGGTTCAAAAACATCTCCGCTGGTTCAAATCCAGCCCGGCCCAATAATTTCCCAGTCTGCCATGAGATGATATAACTTATTTAAGCTTCAAAAATACCCACTCGCAAAAGTAAACAGCAAACTAACCAAAATACCAAGGAAAAAAAATAAACTGACAAAAAGCATCTTAATGGCTTCATTCTGCAACCACAACCTCTCAAGGAGTGTTATAGCATCATTGTCAAAACATAAGATGCACTAGCATGAAAGCTTTAATGTGTAAAAAGAAGTTGAAAAGAGTACAAGCTTCAAAAAGTCACATTATTGTTTTTCAAACAAGTCTTTAACAAGATAGGGAAGATGACACGACAGATTGGCTACTTGCTCAAATTTCATGCAATTCTGGCTTAACTCTTCCTTTTTCTTGAGATAGAATTTTTATAATTTTGTGCTGAATAGAATTGGGTACATGAATCTTATATCCCATACTAAGCTTTAGGATCGTCAAATCACTGAGCCCACAAAAGATATGGCTGAGTAAGTCGGGCTACAAAATATATAAAAGAAAAAATGCTGCTAGTTGTACCCAGTTCCATACCTTCACTCAAGGGTATAAGTCATTTTGCAACACAAGTCTCTTATCAGCATCAAACAGGTCATGATTTTATTTTACTTCAAATTCTAGCATAAAGTATTGATCCTTGATTTCCCAGAGATACTATCTAACTTATAAGACGAGGAATATCTTCACAACATTTGCTAGACTTCTGCCGGTTCTCATTAACGAAAAAGACTTCATTTTGTTATTTGCTTATCAGCATTTTACAGAAGTACCCTATGTCACATAGTATCAGAAAAAAATGTCACATAGTATGTTGACTCGGTCAAAGCTATTTTGAATTTTGTAATGTCTCATAACAAAATGACAAAGTAATAAAATACATTAGAAATAATTTTCTCCCTTCTAATTTAATAGACCTGGATCCAAGAAGAAAATCAGAGGAAGAGTTAAAAACCACAAAAATGAGAAAACATGTGAAGCCATATGCTGACTTTTGCAATTTAGGATGATAAAATAGATACTGAAGTTGTAGTGCAGTGTGGAAAAGTACTCTTGTGTAACATTATATTGCAGAAACGTGGGTTAAATTATTTCTTCTGGAAAGAGGATATGATTTTAGAGCACAAAAAAAGATAACACAAAACCTCTTTTGGATGGAGGGAGTATATTATCCGAGTCTTATAACTTTCCAATTTCAGCATACCGTGTGGAGCAAAAGATTCGTGACATTTGAAAAAAGAAACTGGAAAAAATAATGGGGTGGTATTCTAAATATGAAAACTCAGATATTTTCCATGAGTGCAGATAGATGAGTTCAAACACAGGGATATTGATTCCATCATTTAAATGACTGAGAATCAAGGGGCTCACTTGAAAATGTGCTCTGAACAACTCTCAAAATCTCCAGTTAAAATTAATTGCCTAAGATCGTAAACATGCTTTCTTTGAACCTGCGAAGGAGAAAAAGTAAAGCATATAACACAGCAAGAACGTGATCACGCAAAATCATTATTAAAAAATGAATTAGTAGACTTAATAGTAAAATGCACATATTCTTGAGTCAAAAGTAGGGGATAATATCCTAAAACGAGAAACGAAGACATCAAAACAGCAGAAACTGAATCAGTACATGAGCTACATACCTCAAGGACTTCATCGAATTCTACTAGGCTCTTTCGTATTCCAAAAAAGTATTTCTCAGCATTGATTTGTAAACCCAAAAGCTGACAGTTAAGTAATGTTTCAACAATCATCGTTAGAAGCATGTCAGAGAAAGAGAAAAGAAGGAAGATATATCTTTGAAAAACAGAAATAACACTGAAACCAAACATAGCCAAGCCACACTTATCCATATAAAGAACAAAACGAGAAAGACCCCAGCATACTAAATTACAGAGACAGAAACAGAGCAAACAGAGATTATTCAGCACCTGTTTAACTATTCCATGACCTTCTATTGGGATATCTTCATCATTTGTAATCCTGGATATAAGCTTCACTGCCCACTCAGTGTCAAAGTTAAATTTTTGAAACATCTCATCCTGCAAGCTGTAATAAATAAAAGTAGCTAGGATCAGCAATGGCATTTTAAGGATAACAGGTTAGTCACAGAATGTAGTAATCTTTTCACGAAAAGCTGTAATACACTTTCCAAACTTATACAAGAATTTTGATACTTCACCAAAACCAAGAATATTTTCAGCACACTAGAGGCGAGTAAGGCCAAAGAGTACAATTTGGAGTTTAGATAACTGCAGAAAAATCTAATGCACATACACCTTGTGCAATATGGAGAACTTTACCCTGAATTAGGAATCAAGAACACTGTGAAGGAGCTTTGCCTTTTTTTACCTAAATTAATAAAGGCATAGAAAATTATGTTGTTTTGTTTTTCCTTTATATGAAATAGTGCTTATAACTCACATAGCTGAACCACCACCAACTGTTTATTTCAGAAACATACATATAGACATGTGTATGTACAAGCGTGCGAGCGCGCACACACTCGCACTCATATATGTAAGTATCTTCTTATAAACAGAACAAAGATATAGTTAACTTTATTATTTTATTTTATTTTTGGATAAGGAAATCGGAAAGGATGGTTAAGTTATATTTTCTTCACGATCAAAGTATTGCAGAGGAAGGATTAAACTTAAATCTAGCATCTTACCTCACCATAAATCGTGTTGATCCAGGATCACCCTGCCTGCCAGCTCTACCACGAAGCTACAAGGCACAACTTATAGATCAATATACATGGTTAACTCAACACATCAAAGGAAAAGCAATACCCAAAAGTTAAATCACAGAAATGAATTTGAAGAACAAGCCATTATGAGTTGCATCACCCATTTTTACATTAGGCTGGTTCTACAGGTAATGATCCAAAAAGATAGAAATAAGTTCCTGGGATTCTACAGTAAAAGCTAGCTATTATGAAAGTTCAAGGTGGTACGAAACAAAATAAACTAAGAAAGTTTTCCCAACTTCACCAGCTAAATAAGGTGCAGTAGAATACTTGCTAGACAAGGTATGAATTGTTTGACAGTGCATTCGTGCACATTAAGACAACTTTAAACTAGGAAGCTCCAGTACCAAATTCTAAGGTGCATATCATGCTGTAGTGGCATCAGTTACATAATTATCAAGGAGACAAAAGAAGACCGATGAAGCAACTAACACAATAGGGAGCTTTGTTTTGTAGGCAAACTACAGACGTAGAATCAAATATTAAGCACCAACTGACCTTGGTGAATGACGGGCTTAACACCCCAAACAATATACTGTAGAAGTGGTAACCTATTTTAGATGAGAATTTGTAATTACTATGTATTGTTTGGTCATCGAGCATGTTATGCACTAAAAAGATTCTCAAGAAAACTAAAAGGATAGAGAAGCACACAGTAAAAGGAGAAGAACTTCCACATGTACAAGGTTTTGTGGAGAGATAAACCCCATGTGACAAAGATAACAAAAAACTGCATCTTGTATCGCCTATATTTAGAAGGAAAGGAAGAGTCAAGAAAAAGCTTCTGCCATTTGCAGACAGAAGTTATATAAATGTAACTTCGTCCAAAAGGTCATAAAATTGCCCACTTCCAACACATGCGGAATTAACAAGACCATGAAAGACACAAAAAGTCTCTATGGAACTCGCACATAAACTACAACGATAAGATTAGGCGGTCAAACAAAATAACTGCTATACTCATAAGAATACGAAATCGTCTAAGCATTCTTTCATTTTTCTGCAACATGAATAAACATTTCAAGAGGCCAAAGGTTTACATTATTTTATTCTTAAACTTTCTTGATACAAGTGTCAATTCAGTTATTCCTCTTTGAAAGTCCTACCAAACTAAAACTCACCTGGTTATCAATTCTCCTGGACTCATGCAGAGAAGTTCCAATGACGTGAAGGCCCCCGAGCCTTTTCACTTCTAACCCTTCATTCAAACAGTGAGACACGCAATCCTCAAGAACTGATACATAAGTTAGAGCAATGGATGGACCAAGAGGATAAAATTCTGACTGCTCATCAGCCTGCTTCTGTAGCTCTTTTATCTCCACTGACTGACTCAGCTCAATGGATTCAGCTATCATTGACTTTGCCTCTTGATATGACCATTTCTTGCTCTCATTTTTGCTAACGTACTTAGCTAACCAATACAACAAACAGAAATCCACAAAGAGAAAGCAATCAGATAAAAAATGTCAGTACATCAATATCAAGATGCTAAAGCTATAATCCATTGGGAGCTATCAGTTAAACTGATTTAGACTTGAGATACTAGTTGATTAAAATTACTAACCCATCAGAGCCGCTTTAGCAAGCAAAGCCAATGATGACGGTCCAACTTTTATCTTTGACATAACCTACATACAGAAATACTATCAGCAGAGGGGGAGACCAGTACTTGCTTCTCTATCTAATTGGGACAGAATGCCAAAAGAACCTTTTGAGAATTTNTCTATCTAATTGGGACAGAGTGCCAAAAGAACCTTTTGAGAATTTGATTCTCCATCAACATCAACTTCAGGAACATCTTGTGTCAGAAATGGAAGTATGCTATCCTCCAAAATTTCGTTCGCAAGCATCTTTATCATGTAAAAGCCATGAAAGTCATTCCAAATGCTAGGGCCTTAATATGAATGAGTAAAATATTAAAGCACATAGATGTTAACTTGCCTTTGGATTTCCTCCCAGGATTATATCAGTACCCCTTCCTGCCATGTTAGTAGATATGGTGATTGCATATTTTCTCCCTGCTTGTGCAACAATATCAGCCTCCCTAGCAGCATACTGCAAGAACCAAGAAAATATCAATCAAAAGCCAGCAAAATAAAATCACATGTAAAGATATGGAAGTAGGAGAATACCAAACCAAACTGAAATTTTGAGTTAAAGTAGAGCTCAAGAGTTCTGTACAAACCTTGGGACGAGCATTGAGGACATTGTGTGGAATTTTTCTTTCCTTCAGCAAGTCAGACAAGTATTCAGAATTTTCAACACTGCATTAGAATTAATATTAGTCAAAATATTGCATTAGAGACATTAGTTGTCAGCAAAGGTAATGTGAACAGAAATGAAATTCAAATTTAGATGGCTAACTGAGACCTAACAAATACAAAACTTTTTACAGTCCTACAGCATTCCAGTTCAGAGAAATTTCATAGGCTACTAGAGAGAGATCCGCAAGCAGTCATATCTTAAATCTACAACAACAACAACAATCTCAGTGTAATCACACAAGTGGGGTATGGGGAGGGTAGTGTGTACGGAGACCTTACCCCTACCTTGTGAAAGTAGAGAGGCTGTTTCTGAGAGACCCTCGACGCAAGCAGTCATATCTTAAAATTAAAATTAAGCAGATACTAGTTTCTCTAGAAAAGATGATGGCATATACGTGCCAAAAAGAACTAACAGGTGAAGTTAATAATGTCATTATTGCTTAATATCAGAACTTGTCGAGTAAACATCAGTTGTAGTACCTGGTACGGAAACATACAGACCTGAGAGAGTATGCTGCTTTTTAGCAAATTTAACAGAAGAATTTTCACCAACATAAACTTACTATATATAC